AGAGGGGGCTGCGAGAGAGTGCACGTGTTTCACAGTAGCCCCTGGTCTCCTGTATCACATTTTGGGAAAAAGAAACCCCAAACTTCCTTTATTAAATTTCTCTATTCTTGCCTCCGTCTAAAGTTCAGTTGGCTGAGAAAGTTTGAGGAAAATAGTTCAGGTCTTTTTCAGGGAGAGGGAAGCTACCCTTCCCACAATTTCAAGATGTGAAATATATTTTTAACCCCTACCTAAACAGAACTTGCAACTGGTAGCTATTCAAATGAAGTATCCCAATGCCAATTCTATCTCTGTTGGCCTGAAGATGCTAAGAAAGGAGGAAGGAAGGAAGGACACAGGAAAGAAGGAAAAAACCCACTTGAAATGGGTATTTGCTCTGTATGCAGAGAAAATTTAAATTTTTGTTTCAAATTTACATGCAGTTTTCAAAAGGCATAAAAAAGTTAAGAATTAAAACTGCTACTACCTACATCTATTGAACATATATGTGCCAGACACTGTGTGCAGCACTTCAGATTATCTAAGTTAATGGTCAGAACAACCCCATGAATAGTTACTATTATTATCCCAAGTTTACATAGAGGAGATGGAGGCACAGAGAGGATGCATAACTTGCCCAAAGCCGCACACTACACACTCACCTAACACCCAGTGTGACCCCAAAACTGCACTTGTCACTTCCAACACAACTACCTCTACATAGACAGTGCGGTTTGAAACGAGACTCTCCAGATGATGGTACATTTTTCAATGATGGTAAAGTAGTAGTATTTCCTTCTTTTCTTCCTATACTGCCCCTTGCTCCCCGCCCAAAGCTCTATTTTCCCCAAATCCTGAGATGAGTGTTATTATTACAGCCTCTAACAGATGGAGAAGTGAGCCCTGAGGAGGAGAAACTTAACTAAAGCCACACAACTAACAACAAATTGGGTGGATAGAGCCAGACCTCAGGCACAGGCTGATCCCATACACCTGCAATCAACCCAAGGGTGGCCAGATAACGGCAGGGAGGGGACGGTGAAGATGAGGGGGCTATGGAGGAGCTCCCGGCTCTGTGCTAAGTGGAAGATGTGTCTGCAGCACTCAGGCAGAGCCAGGAGCCCCTGTTTCTTTCTGCAGAGCAAGGGTGTCGAGCACATTCGTTATTATAATTAACTTCCGAGGTTTGCCTCAGGGTTGGGGTTATTAAAAATATTTTGGTATCTTAAAAAAAAACACATACAGCATAGTTGCATAAAGGTAATAAACGGCCCTAAGTTGGTGACATGGAAATGTTTGCACGGAACGGTTCTAGCAATTTCATAAGTGGCACATGTAAAACTTAAAGGATGTCACTAAGGCCCATTGGAAGAATTATTTCCTTATAAATCTGTGGCGGTCTTAGGAAGTCGAAATGGCTCATAAAAAGAAACAACCCACTTCCCTGGAAAAAATGCAGCCTACTCTGTCTGAGGTGGGGGCGAGTGGGGGCTGTTCACACTTGTAACATTTTACAGTAACTGCTGCCGGCATCCAGTGAGGCACTTCCTCCTGCTGTATGCTGTTGCTGGGCTGTGCTCTGAGTTGTATTTTACTGGCAAAAATAAATCTTACCTTTTTACACAAAGCCGTGCTTCTCTAGAACACACCACGAGGGAGGGGAATATTGTTCAAACCTCAACCAAATACCCTTGCTGTCTCTCAGAGACCACCCTTTAAAAAGAGCCAAAAGTCCTCATCCTTCTTTGACAGATGAAATACGTAATAGTTGAGGAGAAAATGGCTTTTTAAAAATGTTGCTGCCACTTCAGTCTGCCCTAATATTCAGTTCTTGTGGTCCCACAGAGTATTGGGCTACAGGTGTAGTCAGTATTCAGGGGTTTATAGAAAAAAAGCGATATAGAGTTTTTACTCTTTACTCCAGCGTACAGGAGCAAAATTACTCGTCATACCCCCAGTTATCTGCCTGCTAGCTGTTTGGAATTGATCAATTTCATGATGAAGACATTGGATGGAGGGTACCATCTCATGTCCACGGCAGATGGAAGTTCTGGGTGGATACTGGTAACTCCTGATGGGTAAAGGCCTGCATTACATATCTCTGCATCTTTACCACCAAACACAAAGCTTGGCACAGCCTAGTTGCTCAATACATTGGATGGATGGATGTTTGAATGGAAGGACAGATGAACAATAGGTTGGACAGAAGAATGGATGGATGAAAGAAAGGAAGGGAACAAGAGTAACAGTCACCATTAAGAATTTGTTAAAAATGCCACCTTAAATGGGCTAAAGAAAAGGAGATGGGCTTTTGTAGTATGTCAGTGCTCTTTGATGACACTGAAACAAGATGACATTGAAACAACCCAAACAGAAATGCACAGCCTCAGTCAATCTCACATCTCTGCAAGGGCACCATGCACTTGGGCAAACCACTTCCTGCCAGATACTTGTTTATTAGGGTCAGTCTGAACAAGCGCCTTTGAACACCAGCCTAAGACTGTTGACAATTACAGAGAATGACTAGTGAACAAAGCAGGTTACCAAAAATGCAGGCCACGTGTGTCCACTTTTTAAAAATATAAAGATGTATATCAGAGAAAAAAAGTGGAAAAATATTTATCAAAATTGTTAACAATGATTATCCCTGGATAATGGATTTGCTATCGATTTCTAGCTAATTCACTTTGACCCGTATGTATTTTTTATGTTTTCTGTAATAAACAAGGATCTCTTTCATACTAGAAAAAAAAAAGCATTTTAAAAATTGCAAGAAATCTCTAATTGTGCCAGGGAAGAAAACGTAACAGCCAAACAAGCCCACAGAAATCAGCCTCAGCAAAATCACAGACTCAGCAGAGAATCGTTAGAGGGACTCTGCCCTAGCCGATGTAAGATGGTCAATCTGTTTGCAGAAGTCCCAAAGGTGCTCTGAAGTGATGTGAGGATCATGTGTCCGTCTTCCCCTCCTTTCATGTAGACAAACCCCATCAGACTCACACAGAGGTGAGGATGGAGTGGATTAAGAGAGGGAAGTCCAGTCCTGCTGACCTAACCCAGACCAGTCTGCCGGCCCCTACTGGACGCTCTCCACAGACCTCACCCCAATCCCTAGGGCACCCCCCTGCTTTTCTGGGGGAACAGTTAATATTTGTTTTTCCTGTGGCTGTGGTGAGGAACAGCTGCAGAACGCAGGTCACATTAAACAAATTAGTGACTCCGAGTGGGCTCTGTGGCACAATTTCTAATTCATACAATGCCTCTAGTTTTGCTATTTCAACTAAATCATTTATCAGTCCTTTCATGGATGTCAGAAATCTCAGCATCTGGAGACCTGCAAACATTAAAATAAGAAGCTATAAAAAATATTAGTAAACCAATTAAAAGCTCAAGCAGCAATAAACTCTACTTGCACTGCACCTAAAATACAAAAACAGCCACCTCCTTCTCTGAAATTAAATAAACATTCTATATCAACAGTTTTTCAAAGAGCTTTTTCTTTATTTTCAAAAGCGCTCCTGATCTCCCATCTGGTACCTTGGTGAGCTGGGGATTGCTTATGGATCAGGCAGAAAGGGATAAAAAATGAAAGACACCTAAGTTTCTTCTCCCAGAAAGCAAACATGATCATTAATTGGTTGGGAAATGGTCTAGAAATTTGAAAAAAAAAATCTAGTTGGAATCACAACTGGGAATTAACTAATATTCTACCCAAATCAAATAACAGGTACAATGATTATCATTAGCCACAATAATTAAGAATGGGGCACTAATATTCTGTGTTTTGCCGTTACAGAACACTTTCAGCCTTCATAACACCAACGCATGAGGTAGGTAGCGTTGTGGTTATTCCCAGTTTTCAAGATGAAAATTCTTTGGGACTCAGAGATGGAAAGTGGCCTGCTTGCGGGCAGAGTCTGCTGACATTTGACAAAAACTCAGCACACACAGATCCTACGACGTGCCAGGTGCCGTCTTAAGCAATGTGAATCCCATGCTTTCATTAATAATCCCTGTGACCGTCCAAGTTTATACTTCATGTAAAAAATGACTTCTTGCTCCCCTCTGCACCCATATGGAGTTCACTGAGTCATCCCCAAATGGGAAATGAGGCTCTAGATATTTAATCAAAAGCCACATCTCCTCTTTGCCAAGATTCCTTATTCTAATTCTGACACAAATAGAGAGAACAGGTGGCTTCTGAGAGGCCAAGAGATAGGAATACTAGTAATCTCCAACTTCCAGAATACTTTCTCCAGATTTCAAAGTGTCATGGAAGAGATCTCTTCACTAGGGGCCATTAAATTGGGGTGAAAATCCTACACGCGGTAGGTAGAGACCCACCTTCACCTGTCCCTATCAGAGGAAGGAAGCACTTTATCCAGCTGCCATGAACTGGGAGGCAGAGCAAGGTGAGATGGAAGAGCAAACACTTCGGAACAAGTAGACAAGGGTCGTTCGTGCTTCTGAAACGTCTACCACGTTCTGGGCACTGTCTGCTGCTGTTTACATCACATATGTAATGTTATGTTTATCTCACATAACCCCAAGGACAAGCTGGGCAGGTGCTACTATTCCCAGGTTTATAGAAGAAACTGAGTCTCAGAGAAGTCATCAGTTGCTTGAAAACATATGACTCAAGCAAAGTGATACCAGGATTTGGGTACAGATGAATCAAAGTGCATATAAATTCTGAGACATCATCCTCCGAAGAGGGAATGAGAGGCTTGTGGTGCAAGGAGGAAGTGGACCAGGTCAAGCGCTGGATGAGGTCATGGGGTTCACGTCTCCTGTGTGCCGAGCCCTCTCCAGCAGCAGAGATGTCACAGGAAGGATAAGAACCACAGAAATTCAAGGTAGAAGAGACTGGACCAGTCCCTAAGAACCCTTCTAGCTCCAGCGTTCTTTGACTGGAATTCCTCCCCTGAGCGCTCCAGTGACCTCAAATCTTGGGATGTGTCAGGACTGCGGGTAAAGCTGGCTTCAGTTTCCATAGGCCTCAGGTCAAAGAGGGATGTCAGATACACACCCTCTTACAAGGGCTGGCTTTGCGGTTCAATTTGGGAAGAAGGGGATGTGGAAGAAGGACTGAGGTAGAAAGATTAAATTTGCTAACTTATAAGGCTCAATTTGAGACGCCAAGTCCAGAAGAGGACCTCAATCCTGGTGGAAATTTCCTCCGAGCGTTTCTCTCCTGCTCACCGTGTACAGTGGTCTCTTTCACGGGCCTCCTTTGGCTGATAAAGTGAGCTTTCGTGTCCTCTGTGCAAAATTGGTTTCTCTAACGTGCTGAAAATAGAAGAGACTTCCACAGCCATGCTTTCCCTCAGGCTGAATAGCGAGACTATCTCAAGGGAGTCAGAGGCCCAGCCATCAAAACTAGCCTTCCAGTGGGAGGCCAGCCATGGCCGAGTCCAAGGGTGAGCTGGAGACTCCAGCCTACGGGGCTTCCCCAAGATTTGGGAACCAAGGGCTTTCCTAGATCCTGGCTTGGTACCCTACAGACCTTAGCGGGGGCTAAGAACAGAGCATCTGTATAATCAAAACTGCATCAACAACTATATTTTGAGCATCTCCTGTAAGGCCAGGATCTGAGCAAGGCAGTAGGATACAGCAATACACAAAGCAGATGTGCTCTGTGGAGCTCATGGTCTACAGTCTAGACCAATGCCGTCCAACAGAGGTATAATGTGAGCTACATATGCCATTTTAGGTTTTCTAGTAGCCACATTAAAAAAATGAAGCAAAATAAACTAATCTTAATAATGTATTTTAGTTAACCCAATATATCCAAAACATTATCATTTCAATGTGTAATCACTATAAAAATTATTAATGAAATAATTTACATTTGTGTGGGGGGGATGCTAAATTTTCAAATTATGTTGTGTGTTTAATCCTTAAAGCACATCTCGGTTCACACTAGCCATATTTCAAATGCTCAGTAACCACCCGGGACTTAGGGTACCATACTGAAGAGCACTGCTCTGGACTGTAAAGATGGAGAATGAGGTGGAGATGGCGATGGGCTCTTTGAGGGATAATGCTGTCACCAATAATTGTATTTATTAAGCAGTCTCTCATGTGATCCTCCTAAACCACCCTAAGAGAATGTCATCCCCATGACATAGATGATAAAAGCAAGGCACAGAGAGGTTCTATCACTTGCTCAAAGCCACACAGCTGGTAAATAATGAACATAGATGCAGAATCCAGAGCTCGTGCTCTGACGCATCACGTCACTCCAATTCTTGGGCATGGAGGGTATGAAAGGCTTCATGTTGAATATCGAGTCTGTTAAGTAAAGGAGAAGTAGTTTATAATGTACCTTCTGCCACCAAATGGCGTGGGTTCAAATCTTGACTCTGCTACTGATTAGCTATGTGACCTTGGGCAAGTTACTTGGTCTTCCTGTGCCTCAGTTCCCTTGTCTGTACAATGAGAATAATAGAGCCTACCTCTAGAGTCATCATGAGGATTACATGAGTTAATACAAATAAAGTGCCCGGCACCTTGCTTGGTACTTAAGAAGCACCCAGTAAGGAGTAGCTCTAATTATTAAGATATAAAACAGGGTTCAGAATCTGGGGTTTTCTGCAGGTATGTCTGGAAGGAGGAGGATGGAAGGAGAAGGCAGAGAAAAGGGCCAATTGTCAGTCCACTCTCAAATGCCAATGTTGTGGGCCCCACGGCTGCTTCCCCGTCTCCTGATAAACAAGATGGAATATAAATAAGGTTCACGCTGTCGTGGGCTGAACTGTGTGTGTCCCTCCAAAATTCGTATGTTAGAGTCCTAACCCCTAGAAGCCCAGAAAGTAATCTTATCTGGAGATACAGTCTTCATAGAGGTAATCAAGTTAGAGTGAAGTCATCAGGAAGGGTCCCAATCCAATATGGCTGGTGCCTGTTGAAGAGAAGGAAACCTGGACACACACAGCCGCACAGGGAGAAGGCCACGTGAACGTGAAGAAGGCCATCCACAAGCCAAGGGGAGAGCCTGAAGCAGCTCACGCCCTTGCAGCCCTGGGAAGGAACCAGCCCTGCCCACACCCTGACCTTGGACATCTGGCCTCCGGAACTAGGAGACAGTAACGTCTGTCATTTAAGCTGCTCACTCTGGTTCTCTGTTTCAGCAGCTGCAGGAAACTAATACACATGGGGACACACATCTTCCCCATACCCCTGACCAAGCGATGCTGCAGATGGGGACCCTGCAAATGGGCCTCCTGGTCAGTGCACGGCCCCAGGCCGCAAAGCGAGCTTGTAAAATCTGTCTCCGCGGCCAGCTTGCTTCGGCGGGGCTGTCGCAGTGGAAAACTACCCAGGAAGGTGGGCTGCAGCTCTGAACACTGCTCACTCTGTTTCCTATGCTACCTTCAAAATCCCCCTCTGTCAACTTAAAGGGAAATAAAGCGTGTCTTTATTCGGGTCCAGGCTCCCTTGGCCACCGCGCTCCAGCCTGAGCCAAGGCAGACACAGTGGCTCATTGAGCATGGTTCTCCCTCCGCATGCACCCAGCACACTACACCGGAGCCCTCGGACCCTCAAAAATGCACAGACATCCATCTGAGGCCCGAGCAGCAACTCAGGGCGAAGGTGGCAGGAGCCGCTCAGGTCACCAGCGCCACGATGATCAGTTCATTCAAACACATGGAGCACTGGGAATTTTCTTTCTTTTCCTTCCCAAAGCCCAGCAATTTGAGACAATTATCGCTAATTTTCCAAGCTGTGAAATGAGATGTGCATTATTTCTCACATGCTGCTCATAGACAGAAGCGGGTGGGGGCACTGCAAATGCTGTTGAGGGTTTTTCTCATCTGCCATGGAAGAAAGAGGATGCCCTGACTCCCAGATCAATTCTCCATCCTTAAAACTGCTGCGTGAGAGGCGGGTTCCTGAAAGACCTCACGTTCCTCTCTGTGAACAGCTTCTTAGTTTCTAATCAATCATGCCTTTCACCCCAGAGAATTAGCTAGACGCAAGTCTTGTATTATAAAACGCAGATCACTGACAATAATGTAGGATGTGGACAAATGGTCATTTAGGGTAAAGGATGCAAAACCTTCAAGGTTTATTCTTTTGGTTTCTCTCCCAGAGATGACAAAGACCCACAGATTGTAAATTATGGATGCTTCCTAGCACAGGGAATGTGATTCCACTAGATTGTTATGTAACTGGAAAAACAAATTGGTGTGCTAGCACGGGGCTAACTGACAGCCCACAGACCCCGAGCTGAGACTGGGCTCCAGAAACTTCATAAGCGTTGCTGCTGTAAGTAACTCACTTAATTTCCCTAGGCCACACTTGCTTCCTCTCTTCATTAATTACTTTTTTTTTAAAGATGAAGTTTGATTAGGCAACATCTGTAAGTCTTTCCTAGCATGTCGTCCTTTTGCAAAGAATTTCATGTGTCAGAAACTTTAGAACTTCCCGAGTATGAACAAGAGGCAGGGACTTGGGCTGGGTCACCTCTGTAGCCTGAGTCCCTAAAAGGGGTCAATAAATGCTTGTTGAATAGAAACACAGTACATAAGGACTTGGCTTTCCTTTCTCGTCCGTCCACTGTCTTCCCCTCCACTTCAACAAACCCCCTGTGGATATGAAGATGGTTTGTGGGTGTGTTGCCCTGTAACTCCCTGGCTGGAGGCAAAATTCAAATGTCTCAGAAGCAAAGCTGGCAGGGGCCACTTTTGCATCAGTTAAACCAGTTGTAGTTAGCCAGGGGCTGAGGATGCTCTGGAGTTCAAATTCCAGAGCAAAGGACCTCTGCCAGTATACTGCAGCTGGCCCCACAGTGGGTGACCCCAGATGATAGAGGTGGGTCTAAACAGTCACTGTGGCCACTTGAGACTGAGACGCTGCAGGGTGGCGGGGTCAGGCACACTGTCTTTAGTCTAAGAAGACAGATCCTGGACCTCAGTCCCAGGCTGACCACTTCCATCTCAGTGCTGGGGAGCCTCAAGCATGACTTGGACAAAAGGCAGGAGATAAATAGGAAAAATGAGAAAAGTTAAGTGGAAGTTACTAAAGGGGACAGAATTTGATTAATTCAAGAAAAGCCCTATACCAGGGGTGCTAATTACCCACCCCACTCTGTTCCTTACCAAAGAGAACCTGATTTACCTGGGAGTGGACAGTAAATTTCCTGGACTCCCTCATGATGACCACCTGACATAGTTCTGTCCATTGAATTGTTAACAAGAAATCTTCAGGGGTTTATTTAGAAAGCCTTGCTTTCTAGCTCTAGGCACTGCCACTTTTGTCTTGCATCCCCCTTCTTCCTTTCTGGTGCCTGGAATTCAGACATGATGACTGGAGATGCAGCAGCCACCTTGCTACCACATGGGAAAAACCAGGAAAATCACAGAGACTTCAGCTTTGCCAGTTGTGAGCTACTGACCCAATGAGAACAATTCTAAGTCTGCACTTCTCAAGAGAGAGGGAAAAAACCCTCTTAACTCATATAAGCCACTATAGTGGGGGTCTGTAACTGATACCTGAATGGGTCCACCCTGGTTTACCATGTTTAACAGCATCCCCATTATGCTCTGGAATTTTCTAACCCAATTGGGCTTCTAGGGTTCAAGACAATTACATTTCCATTCTTCTTTTACCCAAGTCTCTTACCCACTTCATGGAACAGTTTCTCTGTCAGGCTGATTCTCCAGCATATTCTGTCTGAGCACAAGAAGTAAGGCGAGGCAGCCTGACATCTGCCAGTGACTTCTGGCTGTAGAAACCGAGAAGGCAGCCTGTCTCCCCTAACGCAAGTCGTATGTCGTGGAGGAGTCACGAGAAGACAGGTCTCCCTCCTCCCCCACCTCCTCCAGCCCAGGGCCCAGGGTAAAGGCTTGATGGGTCTTCTCGGGAATAAGAACAGAAGGAATCCATCCCTCAACATCCTGCTGAGGCTGGAGGGGCAGAGCTGCCTCCACACTGGCATTAATCAGGAAAGAATGAAAAGAAATGCCATGAAGTGGAAAATACCTGCTTGCTGCTGCAGCTGGAAGGTCTGGGTAGGATTTGTGCTGA